AAAAAATAGTCCAGTCAAATAAGAAAAAATAAAAACATTAATTGGTAAAGATCTGAATTTTGGTAAACATGTTCATTAGTGTTCCCCATTGGACATACTAAAAGTCCCCGTCAAAATCTGTTGCGCTCGAGGCACCATCTTGGAAAAAAGGAGCACTTGTTCAGATTCTTGACTATATATCGGCAACAATTATTGATACGGAAAAATAGCTCAGATAAAAAATATAGTTTATTAAATTGCCCATAAAAAATCATATTAACATTTTTTTGTATGTCCAATACTTTAGTTATAATCCGACATCGAATAGGGAATCAAGTATCCTGAGCTCTCGAAACAGTCGCGCATACATTTTTTTACAACTTTTTACAAATCATTAAATTTATTGAAAATTCTGCCAGTATTTCTTATATGTATATGCGAAGTCGTCGCACTCAAGCTTGGTATGAGACACGTTTAAAGGTTTCTCATAAAACTCTCTCTCTCTCTCCCTCTCTCTCAATAGAACTTTCATCTTCAATGTGAGCAGTTAAGCACTGAGTGTAGACTGGAAGCCTTCAGTGACCAAACAGGGTCAAGGAAATCGTGGACTCTCCTTCAACTCCACAGTTCGGGAGATTTTTCATATCCACGGAATTTCTGAACTTGCTGATTAATACGAAACGTGTGTTGCTGCGCCGCTGCAGCTGTAGTGGGTAACCGAAGGGGTAAAAGTGGTTAGATTCGGCTGACCCTTGTACGCGTATTTTCTGAAGGTCTGATAACGATGTCGGTTTAAATATCTCTCATTAGCAGGCACGTTATATGCAGAGAACGGCCTTCTCCAGCTTCAGAAATCATTTCGTGGCTCCAACAATTTAAATCATTTTCGCTTACCTTTTTGAAAATAACATGACGTCGTATCATGAAACATTTTGTCATTGCTAGAATGCTTTTACATTTTTTTCATTTTTTGGTGCTTTTACAGCTTTCGGTGTAGTCATAAAAAAGACGGCATCCTTCCTATAACCAAAGAGTAACCATACTCTTTACTATAACTACGATACGGGGCCTAAACGCGTTCTGACGCATTCAACGTGACATTACAGCTAAAGTATTGGAGATACAAAAAAAACGTAAATACTCTTTTTTATAGGGAATTTAGTAAACTATATTTTTCATGTAAACTATTTCTTCGTATCAGTAATAGTTGCCGAGACATGGGCAAAAAACTGGAAAAGTGTACCGTTTTTCCAAGATGGCGTCTCGAGCGCAACAGATTTTGACAGGGACTTTTAGTATGTCCAATGGGGAACACTAATGAACATGTGTACCAAAATTCAGATCTTTACCGATTAATGTTTTTATTTTTTCTTATTTGACTGGACTAAAAAGCACAACGGAAATGTTCTATAGGTAGGTAGTGGTGTCCATTAAAGTTATATACACTCTAAGAAATGTACGTCTTAATGATATGTTAACAATAAATTCGGTATATGTGTGTTTCCTTGGCTTGAAAACAAATTGAGCAATTAAACCTACAGAGAAATATAAACGGAAGAACTTCGAAAGGTGTCATTTGAGCAATTATACTACGCAACAACAACAAACCAAATTAACGATTGAAGCTTTAAGGTCCAAGGAACATTAATTTTTTAAAGGCTTTTCTAAATTCAGGATTGAAAATTGTATAAATGACAGGATTAACAAAACTATTGATGTATCCCAACCACGTCGTTAGTAAGAATGCTGCAACTCCCGGCTGACAGGATAATCCAAGTTTACTGCACATGGCGTCCATTATGTTACACGTGAAGAAGGGCACCCAACAGAAGAGAAAAACTCCTGAAAGTAAATCGTAACAATTACTATTATATTACTAACACATGAGAAATTGAAACGTTCGCGACTATTTGTCAAGATTGATAGTGGTTGTTTGTTTAGGTCCGCCTATTCTAGTTTCACTCACGCCAGAAACTTTACCCCAAAACTTTACACTTTATCGAGAGTGACTATTTCTTTGTCGTGCGAAAAGTTGAATAGGAAAGTGGACCGAAATAGGTCATGCTCGTGATTAAACTTGTATACCGAATTAATTCGTGCTAAAAGCGATCATTTGTTGATGGGATAATTGCTATGTATCCGTAATTATACTATAAATAACTTCGGTACCGACAAAAGGCATAAAGTATATTGTCAATGAAATATGAAGTTACGGCACGCAAGACCGTCACAAATCACCTCGGTTCAAAATAATTGAGCTCAGAAATAAATGGGGGTGTGCCGAATAATATCAAGATGAAAACCGTTGGCACTTAATCGTTATGAGAAGCGTCCAAGGTATCGATAGCTATAATTAAGCGAACGATGTCATGTCTGTTAAGTCGCCACTTGTAGATAATTAGATTTGTTCCGATAGCTCGATCGGATCTAATTTTTCTCGAAATGTCAAATACAGGTTTCGCTGCGCGATTAATTAATAGAAAGATACAACGCAGGATTCGGAAGGAATTGCTTCATTTGACCCCTTTCCCTTTAATATTTAAAATGGATTACGTAAAATGTTTCGGAAGGCCAATGATAACGTTTCCCAGTCACGATTTTTCAAGGAAATCAATGTGGAAATCTAGATGCATTCCAATCATGAGGCCTATTTTTATGAACACTTTTCAAGCAATACGCGCCTCTCTAAGATCAGCTACAATTGAAGACAATGCACTCGAGAAAATCATTCTACTGTATGTCTCTCAAATCCTTTTCACCGAAAACCCCTTTACTGCGTTTACTAAACTTAAGGGGGCAAATTTTTGGGCACTTTAACTTACTAATGCGTTACCACTGACATAAACAGTATATAGTGTTTGTATATGGGAATCGCGAACACTTAAAAAAAAGTGTCAACGTTTTGCAATTTTTTTTCAGTTTCCGTACTGTAAGGTTGTAGCGAGAACACGAGTTTGGTATTATTTTAATGCAATTAATGTTATAACTTAAGATGCATTGAACATTATGGAGCAAACTTCGTTGCAATGTTTTAATAAATTACGTTAAATAGACCAATCGTTAACTAACGTGAAGGTGCGAAGCCAGCTGTGAATACTGCAAAATTCAGTGAATGCATCTGTAAGTAAAGCGGCGGCGGTGGGTTTGAATGGCATACATGTAAATGGAAACATGAAAACGTCACTTTTATTATGACTCGCTAAGGCAGCTTTATTATACCATAGATGGCCGAAGGCGCGCGGTCCACACAGGGGGGGACTTCGTATGCGACTTTTAAGAAAGATGGTCGAGAATTAGAGCAGTCTATAGATTTATTGTTACTGTGCCCATTTTAAATTGTATAGTGTTTTAAGGGTGTACACTACCACCTATTCATGGGATGTACCCAAAAAATTGATTCGTAGCTACCGAAATAATTACATTTAAACAAACCAAAAGAGCAGTGGACAATGATCCCTTTAAAAAAACCAAAGAACAAGGACAAAGGTCCTACACATACCAATTAGTGACATTAAACAAAAGCACACAAAAATCAAAAGAGCAGAGGACAATGACCCCATTTAAAAAACACAAAACAGGAGGGGATGATGGTCCCATTAAAAAAAATAAATTACAAAAACATTAATATTAGAATTTTAAAAAATCTCTTTGTTTTTCGTTTTCAAATTAACCTGAGAAATTGGCCCGAGAACGCACCGATGACAGGATGACTAGTTGAATATCGTAAAACATGAAAACGTCACGTTCTATTAGTCAACTTTATTATACCAGTGGGGTATGTTATTGAAAACTATAGAGGAATTGATGATTCACATCTCAAAAATGTTTTAACTATATCGTATATCACAGAAAGATGCAATCTTCCCAGAAAGTCAATGCGTCTTCAAAACTGAAAAGACTGCCAATATAATATACGTGGACTACGTACAATCACTAATAAAATTCGTTTTAAAAAGCAAATATTTTACTCTCCATTGATTTCAAAGAGGCATTTAATTTCATCATGTTTCGAAAATTGGGTTTCCATTTGAAATTATCAAGTTTGGCTCTCTATCGCCAAGGGCCAAGGGTGTTTCTGGAATGACAAGATTTTTGACTCCATCGTTAAGTTGATTTGTGACGATCAAGAAACCTAATTAGTTGTGTAAAATTAGTAGAAAAGGTTTGCGTCATCGGATGGGCGAGGGTGGCAATAAAAAAATTAAAGCAGTAGGAGGGTGGTTAATCTGAACTGTCAGGCGAGGCGCGTTAACCGCGAGTAAAGTTGGGTCAACCATCCGTGAATTGGCGCAGGGTGTTTTATTTTGTGAAAAGGAATGCGCGTTGAACTGTGAGTGAAGTTAAGTTCTGTAAATTACCGCAGGGTGGTGTTATATTTTCAGTATGAATTAGGGTTGATACCAGATTAGAGTTAAGTTAATCCCCTGAACACTCTCAAAGGATGGATTTTATTTTGTGCCAAAATTCGCGTTGCCATTCGTGAATATTACAACCAAAGATTTTTTGGTTAGAAAGGCGCACGAAATCTAAGTTTGCTTTTTTGTGGTGGTTTCCATACAAGCCAAGAATTACTCTTTGATACAAGAAAAAATGGTGTAGTCACGATAATTCCGAGCTGTATGATTATTATTTTAAACAAACAAATCAAAAGCGTTTGTGACTAAAATTGAAATTGAACTGCGAAAGGGGAAATTAGTTGAAATACGGACAGCGGAGGTTGAATTCTTTGACCTTGTAAACTAGGATGTCGGCTAAAAATGCACTGAATAAAGTAATTCAGTCGCCCGGCTCTACAATTTGTGGGTGGATATCATTTTTAAAATTTTATTTCCCGAGGGATTATGTAATTTTGTGTAATCGCGTGGGTCTAGGATTTTTTATCGAGTTTTCTTGTCAATCCTTTGGAACATGGAACAAGACCAGTCTGTACTTCACGATCCACGGGTTTCGTTACCCTTAATTACTGTAAATACATTAATCACATCTTTGTATTTTGCATTCAAGTGAGTACCGTTGTACTTCGAGGGTGTTTAAAAAACTAAATTTTGTAAAAAAAACCTTTACAAAATCGTCCCTTTCATAATATCGACCTGTATACAGGGCGTTCCTAAATATGAAGCGGCTAATTCTTCGGGTTTGCTAAAGTTGATTTTTATTTTATTGATGTATTGCTTTAATTATTTGTTGAGTATATGTTGATTAAAATGCGTTTTCAAATAATTTATTTTATTTTCTTTCTCGATAATGGTCTCAGATAGCGACGAGAATTAATTTCGTATTTTACCATTTACCAACGGCGCGCCGATATAACAGTTTAAGAGTAGAAAATGGAACATTATCCCTGAAAAAACACCACCCTGCAGAGTCTCACTAAAATTGATATGGCCAATGATGTAGCCGAATAGCATGGAACACACCAAGGTGGACGTAGGTTTTCGATAGCTGTGTTACTAAAATATTTGAACTTTTTAAAAATGGCGATTTTAATTTTTTAGCGCATTTTTTAAGAATTAAGAAAAATGTGGTATTGTTTGCGTTTTGTCCGTCCGTCCGTCCGGACCCACTTCTACCGTTTTGAACTACTTTTACGGGAATGGTCTTAGAGTCCTGGAATTTTTTGCAGTAGATAGCCTATACCTTGAAGGTGTGCCAGATGGCCATCAAATTTCGCTGTCTAAAAGGGGGCCCCCTCACGAATTATTTCCTGAGATGCTGTTTTTGAAAGAAAACGTGGACAACTTTTATATACGACAACCAATGGTCTCAGATTTTGCATACGCATGCCTTTAGTGGTGCCAAGTTAAAATGAAGAAAATGGGGGGGGGGGAACACATGTTCTACCCTTCATGGTATTCTAATGAAAGGTCTCATCGAAATAAATTGGTTTGTACAAACTATAACTTTCCCGTGCGACTCTTTTTCGAGATCAGTGAGCGACGGGGCCTGAGGGGAGGGAGGTGGTTTAAAAATTAATTTTATCTCTCATTGTATTCTAATTAAAGGTCTCAACGAAAGAACCGTTTTCTACCAACTACTGTCCTTTTTTCTGTCCTTTTATCAAAGTAAGGAGTGGCGGGGGAGAGAGGGGGGAGGAGCTAATTTATCGTTCATGGTACTCTACTGAAGGTCTCAACGAAAGCAATTAATTTCTACTAACGATAGCCCTCCTCTTCGACCTCTTATCATGATCGGGTATATTTCCTTATACCTCAAGAACGGATTGTCGGAAGAGTATACTCATAAAGGGCGATTGAGACCTCTGCAAGAAATATATCCATTGGTGATGTCAAAACAAAAGCTATTTCGGTTTAAAAAAGGCGCTTTATCTGCACAAGAGTTGTGCACAATTTATACTTGTTTCCAATTATCTACGAAACGAATTATTTTTTCAAAATATCGCATCGGAATATCCATTAGCATCAAAAACTACACAACTTTGCCAATTTAACTGTATCTGTAAATATAATAATAACAAAGATCGCCATGTTATCCTACTCAATTTAAGACACCCTGACAGGGTGACCCTGCATAATTTGCTGTGGTTAGATAGGGAAGTGAGAATAATATGATGTAGAAGTACAGCAATATTAAACTTTTACCATTTTGTACTGCCAACATTAGATTCGTATAAGGTTGAAAATAAAATTTAATTCTCTCGAATGCGGCCTATAGCTACTAAAGTGAAATAGCAAACAAATAACTATAATGAAATAGCGAAGTAACAGAAAACAATACACAGACTACCGAGGTGCACCATATAAAAATTATGTTTCGTTTTAAGAAAGGAGAATTACGTCCCAGGCCCTTAACTTTCTCGCGAACCGGTGCTATACAAGAGCAATTCAATTATGTTTTCACTAAACTTTTCCTATGCAAATATGTATTTTACGTTCAAGTGCCCCTTCCTGCAGCTTTCATATTTAATAAGTAATTTCCACTCGATTGTCGGCGTTAACTCTATTTTTGCATACAAATTGAAAACGTTTTTCAGGTAAGTAGATCTACTTGTAACTCGTCACTCAACTTAACAATAAAGCAGATGCACGCTGTGAACGTAAGCACATCCGCAAATGTACTGAGTCGAATTTGTTTACAGATGCAAGGTTAGGTCACCTTGTGAAAATTCTAAAGAAAAAGAAAAATAATCTATTGCGAGGTCAGTTTTATCACAAATTTTTTGACACGCCCTTTATTAATAAATACTTGTTTGAATATATTGCTATCTTGACACAACAGACACCGCGCATCTTGACAGCACACGGTATGATAGCTTGTGTCACAGGTTAGTGGATTACAGGTTTTAGTTATAATGCCAGAAATCTTGTGGAAACCTATAACATAATCAGTGGTCTACTAATTTTAACTATAAACTGCCAAAAATTGATGTGTTAGTAATATCGACTTATTCAGATCATTACTGAAAGGTCATTTTCAGAGTGACTTGTCCAAGAAATTGAAACCGTCATATACCGCATTCTCTATTTGTTGAGGATTTACTTTTGTGCGATGCTACCTTAACACAACAGACACCGCGCATCCTGACAGCACACGGTATGCTAGATATTTGCTTGCTCAAGAGATAAGGGGGAAAATTAAAAAAAATTTCAATTTCAGAATGAGCCTATAATATTTTCTTAGTTAAAAAGGAAACAGAAAAATGTTTTGTACAAAAGTTTGTTTATAATGATGAAATAATCTGCCGCTTTGAAAATAGGTATACGGGGTTGGGTAAAAAAGTTATCGGACCTAACCTCCATTTTTGTAATGGAATACTCTCTATATTTAAATACGACAATAGAGCATATTAAATTCTCTTGAAAATTATAACACACTAGCGACAGTGGAAATTAATTCACTTTTTCACGGAGAGTGCCCTTCGGTTTGATTTTTTCAATATACCATGAGGACGCGCAGTAGTTACTAATTTGAATAGAATCAGTTTCAGTATAATTTCTGCCTGGAAAAATTATCACTTTGTCATGTCGACCACCATTCTACGATTGAATAAGGAGTCTGTACTTTATCCTTCTACTGACCGTCAGAATTAAGTTACCTAATGCTTTTATTGCAATTTTCAACTTTTGCGGTGAACGTTTAGGTCCCTATATAGGATGTTATAATTCAAAACACGCCAGGTATCAAATTGAAAGAATAGAATACCCATAATTAAGGATAATTTCTAATATACGATGACACAAAGGATGATAATAAATTTAGCAGCGAAAGTTTCGCTATGAATTATTCAGCTTACATACGTCGTGAGAGGTTCAATTCTTTAATATTTATTGGAAAGCATTAAGCAGATTTGGATTAGAATTAGAAAATGATCGTGGATTTGTGCGACAATAAAATTTAATGAAAGCTCGCTGCAGGATTCGGGGCGACTAAAATCTCGCTCGCGGGAGAAATTTAAAAAAAAAGCATCGTTACCTCTATTGCGAAAGTAATTTCCGCCGTAATTAAAGTTGTAAGGGAAAAACGTCGATAGTATTTTACGGAGCCCTAACACGAATAAGACTAGAAACCGACTTAAAATTGCTTTAGTAACATTTAGTGTAACTGAAGTGTTGCAACTTACCTAGAACTATCGCCAGTGTTTTAGTTGCTTTTCTCTCCTTTTTCGCCGTCGACTTTTCTCTTTTTTTACGACTTGCTTTATTAACTTTATATATTGTAAATCTTGCCGCCGCCGAAGCTTTTCTTTCCTTTTTCGAACCGGAAGACCTTTCTTGCTCGATCTCTGAATTGACCGTCGCCGATACAGTCCTAAAAGATAGCGGTTTACAATTAGTTCTATTCGAAGCAGACATATTTCTATGTCATAGTGTGATAAGAACATTTGTGTGTGGTTTTGTGACAGAAAACAAATATCTATTCATGCAAACGTGGCTCTACCGAACAGGGGGAAATGGTGAAATATGTGAAATGTTATAAGATTTAGCTGGAAAACAAAAGTAACGGTAGGAGTTTTGCGGTTCTTTGCAATTAACAAAAATATTGCCAGGGAAAGTTAAATTCAATTTAAAATGAGCACGGCTCCCTTTCGGGTTAAATTGTTACCAACAAAGTACTGCGCAGTTCTTCCTCCTACAAGTACACGACAGCAACTTGTGTAATTGGGTTATTTATTAACACCTGTACAAGTGGATTAAAAGTTTTAGTCATAATGCCAGAAGTCTTGTGGAAACCTATAATATAATCAGTGGTCTACTAATTTTAAGCGGAAACTTAATTATATGCTGGCAAAAATATTAGTAATACAACTTATTCAGATCTTTAGTGAAAGCTCATGAGCTGTTAATTCATTTTCAGAGCGACTTGTCTAAGAAATCGAATAGCACATCCTTCATTTTTCAAAATGAAAAGCCACTAGCAATTCTACCTAAATAATGTAGAAGCAGTAATGCTTGGAAAAGGTAAGGGTCCTTCGAACAGCTAATCCCAAAAATGTTCGGCTAGGTTCGTATATCAAAATCTATACAGCATTATTTTTGATGCGGGTATCAGGGGTAGCAAAACTGATTACGTTTCCCAGCAGTAAGGGGCAATACATGACCAATTGGCCTCGATTATGAGGAAGAGGGCCAGTACGAGGTGCTCTTCTTCACACCAAAATAGGGCAAAAATAAAACTTCGATCGTAACACAATTCAAGATGTGCTACACTAAATTTACTCATGGATATTTGCCCTCGATGATTTTGCACACAGAATTTTCGTAGTCCACCCAAATACTCTCTCTCCAGGAACTCGCTCTAGTGAAAGTTAAGGCTTAGGGAAACTCTTCTCCAAAGGGAAGGACTTGTTTTATTATTATTTTTTACTATGAATAGACGCCCCCACCACGAGGTAAACACACTCTAGCAAGATTGGCTTGTAGAAGATTCATCATCGACTTCAGAAGAATTTCCCCAAAGAAAACGCAATTACGCAATTCTAGAGCTTCCTCTTCTATTTCTGTGACAAATTTCGCCCTCCCCCGAAACATTCAACCTACGCAATTCGCTCCTTTTTTGCCACGCATCTCTAAAGTCGGTTATACACGATGGTTCAAATGTGTGGCTCACCTTTGGCTTTTCCGCAACGGGGGCAGATATAATCTAGGGCAAATGGGGACAAATTTGCCCCTTCTTACGACTAAAAACCGCCTTTAAATTTTTTGAAAATAAGTGACTTATCACCGAAAAACTGAAAATGTCAAATTTCGTTTCCATTTTCTCTAGCTTAAACGACCGGAAGCCATGGGCACTTTTTTTCGGAGAATCTGTCAAGCTATAGGACACTTTCCTATTTCATATGGACGCCATGTTGGATTTTTATGGATTGAGATAGAGGATGAGAAAGAAAAATTGTCCCACTCTATACTTTTTTTACATACATTTACAAGAAACATTTCAAAATCAAATGCTTTACATTTATTTCTCAACAAAATATCCACGGGTAACTAGATCTTGCTGACTCAAGATGGCTATGATGGCGATGGATTAAAATGAATTTTTTGTCTTATTCCGTAAAAATTCAATACGACGTCCACAAGAAATAAAGGCCAATTCACATTATCGGTCCGATCACGGTCCGCTAACGGTCCGGTCAATTATTGTAGCGTGTATTTCTATGAACATGTTCTGACCGTGACCAGACCGTCGAATGTGAATATTCCTATTGAAATAGCATGTTACAATATTTTGAGCGGAGCGTGAGCAGAGGGTCACCTGAGCTATAGTATGAATTGGCCGTAAGAAAGTAGAAGTCTGTAACTTCTACATCAAGCGTGTTATGAAAATTGCAATAACACATTGATATACTCTGAAAAAAATCAAAAATTTCAAAACCGCGGAAATCCAAATGGTGAGTCACGAATTTGAACCACTCTATATACACACAGCCCAAAAGAAAGAGTGACAAAAAAACAGATGCCATATCCCGGCATGACGATCTCATAAAATTGATAGGTATCGACTATGCTTTCCGAGAATCGGGTAACACGTCAGAGCCCGAAAAAACAAGCAGGTTGAAGGTGGATTTTAAAGCAAAGATAACGTAAATGGAAATTTGTAAGAAACCAATGACATTGGTATTGGTGTATCCTGTTATTCTTTTAAGAGTGAATTTTCTGGGAACTATTATTCCAGGGGCGAATCCACCTGAACGCAAGCTCTCTTAAAGGTGAATTTTTGGAGAGGCACTTACCTGAGCGAAATTGGTCACAGACATAGAAGGAAATCTTAGTCTTCCTTAAGATAAATCCTTTGGAGGGTAGCTTTCCAGAACGTGAATTCGTTTTGGAGCTAATACCTGGAGAGAATAGTGAAAATTAAAGGGTTTACCAAAATTCCCTTTAATAAAGACTTAACAGATCAAAGTTGCGTAGTCTCAAACCCTCAGATGGCGATCTTCCGTCAGAACCCGGAGCTTTATGTTTCAGAATAAGAGAAAAGTTGCATTACTCGATGAACTCAAGGAAGGGATGGTTGTATTCCGCTTTTATAAGTATTAGAACATAAAAGATCCATCGTTTGCTCCGTCCCAGTTATAAGTGGATGGGGGGCGGATGATTGCTTTAGGAAGTACCTAACTTGGAAGAGGCGAACCTTCAGCTACCTTTCCAAAATTAAAAGAGCGGGGATGTATAATGACCGAGACCCTAGACTCTAGAAAATTTACTCCAGTTTAGCGTCTGCAAAGGTGCCATCGAAAATTTCTTTTCGGGAATTTTGGTCCTCCAAGACAATTTGCCTTCCTCTTATTCTTCAGGAACCTTCCCTTATTCTGATAAAATTCGGCTCGGTGAGTTACTCTTAGAAAAATCATTTTGTAGAGAATTCACATGAAATACTGGAGCTCTCCAATGAACATTCTCGTTCAGAAAGTCTCTATCTCAGAAGATCGCTCTGAAGAAAACTCGTTCTTAAAATAACGTCTCTGACAATTCATCTTTGAAATCGCTCACAAGGAAACTCTCCTCCGTGTAATATCACTCTCACCTCAATTAGAAAACTGGCTCACCCCAGATCTCTAAGATCGGTTGCGTATGCACAGCCCAAAACACGGGGACGGAAAATGACAACAGTTTGGCCCCAAGAAAACTAGAGCTAGTGTGAGAACTTCACTGGTACTCGTAATCACATTGGCAAAGGCATTGTTTAAATACTTACACAATGGCAAAGGTGACCTTTCTACAAGAATATGTAGAAGAATACCGAAACAATATCTATGGTCAGAAAAAAATTAGTTTCTACCGAAGTTGAAAGGGGAAAGGGATGGGGACTTCACAGGTCTGCGGTTAGGTCACTACCACGTGAAAATAACAACCCCATATAGTCGATCACGAAATGGTTCGCATGTGTAATGGGCCCGAGGAGTAAGAGGAAATCCCTCTGCATACTTTGTGACACTATGCCGCATATAGCTCATCAAAAATTATTTTTTAGTTAAAAACATATCGCGTAGTCGAGCATTCGTTGGACGTGTGCTGCTTATAGACCGAGAGATATCGACAACGTCTGTCACAGCAATTTTCTCTTTACATAGGTTAGAACTAGCGTATAAACAAACGTATATCATACGTCTGTTGAGCGGTCAGTTCCCTTTTTATGTAATTTTTTTAATTTTGATAGCACAACAAGCAAAAGTTCATTAATCATCTGCTATTACTTTTAAAATATTATTGGAGAGAAAAAATAATAGGGCGCTAGCACATTGACAGACGTTTTTCGTTGACTATTCTCTTGGTCACATATAAATATTATGTACTTGCTAAAAAGTTTTGATTGCCAAAGGTACCCAAAATGAAATATCAAATGGATTCATTAAATGTATTAATGGCATTCGATTATTAATAAACTTTTTTTGTTGTGTTGTCGAAAAATTACTTAAGAATAGAACTGAGATATGATATACGTTTATACGCTAGTTCCAACCAGGGCCCGGGCTATGTTTTTAGCGCCCTGGGCTATATATTGGCAAAAATGATCCACAAGCTCAGATCTAAATTGCAAATAATGGAAAAATGTAATTTATCAAATCTTGCCGCCGCTCCGAAAGTGGCACCTGGGGCTACAGCCCATTTAGCCCATTTATAAGCCGGGGGCTGGTTCTAACCTATGTAAAAAGAAAATTGCGGTGACAAACGTTTACTAATTATCGTACAAAATCTGTCGTTACCTCTTGGTGTATTATCAAAGGTTGTGATCTACTAAAACACTGATTACCAACGTGAACATTCACAACTACCGTGCACATGCCTTCATGCTTACACCTAAACCATGGGTTGTGTTTTCTTCCAAATTTTCTAACAGTAGGTACCTACTTACACGATTGGTAAGTGTAGTACGCCAAGGGCCAAGTCTCTGGGAGAAAAAAATACTTGGGTTACGGAATTGTAATGTAATTTGATGAAATGTGCGTGTGTATAATGTGTTATTTGCGTACGTGGTTTGATTTATAAGCACAGTAAGTAAACAAAATTCAGCGGTTCGGTTATTCCTTCCTCTACACTTGGCTAAATACAGAAAAAATTTTCAATCAGAAAGCAGAACTCACGGGATTTATTAGTTACATTGAAAAACGCAAGGGTAGGGATTAATTGTCGTTATATGTATGCTTTTAGGTATTAATTGAAGTGTTATAAGTTGGAACGTCCCCAGTCACCAAAACCTTTTCGTTTATGTGTTAAAGCCTACTACACTAAAATCGTCAACCCGAGCCCAGGCGCATATGATTGGACCAAAACAAAGATGAAATATACTTTACTTTTTGTTTGATTATTTTATAATTATTGTAATTGATAAATATTGTTGATTAATTGCCAAA